CTTGGCTTCGGCTCCGGGAGCAGCAGAGATGAACCGGCCACTCCCATTTGTGAGCCCTCCTGCAAGTCATAAAAACAAGGGTATTCTGCAAGATGAAATCAAGTGGCCGAGGGATTAATTTACAACTCGTGTCTGCCATTTTACTTCTAATTACTCCTTTTCCACGGAGATGGGTTTCTGACACGGTTCAACTAGGAAGTATTCTCAATTAAGCTAAGTGAGCTGCCCCAAAAATGATTTAGATGGGGACATGTTCAAGCATCGTTCCTTAGCATAGTACCGTTGTACTGAGCTAGGAACAGCTATAGATTTCAGCAAAGAACAGACCGCAACAACTTCTGTTCCTCGCTCTGTGTCGAAACTGTCTACAACAGACAAACGTCAATACCACCACTTGCAACTTTTCTTTAACTTGCTGTTTCTAATTCCCTTAGCCTCCATCCTCCTCATTTTTTTTTTCCACCTATGCTGCTGCTGAGTGAAGGACTGATTTAAAAGAAGCTTACTGGGGGCGGGGGACAGACTTAAGATGAAATTAGATAAGGTAGCAAGAAGCAAGTATTAAAATTTTGGATATAAAAAACAATTTACCATTAAATACAGGTAAATGACAATAGATTTTAAACAATAAATGAATACTTTTAAAAATCCCGTGCATTCACAAATGCCCTAAAGATTTTCACCCAATTTCAGACAGCCGCTGAGTTACCCAATAACAGGTGTATGGGGAGTAAGTAATGATTTAGCATATAGCAACATTGCAACTGCAAGCTTTGACAGGAACCAACTTAAACCTTTAAACACTATTTCCTTGCCTATAATTTTTCAAAATTTGCTTCAGAGCTATGGCAGAGGACTCTTCCCTTTCTTGCAGGGCTCGGGATCCCTCTGCTGGTAAAAGACCGCAAGATGCCTTGAGCGAGTATGGTTTTTCCTGGGTGGGACAAAGTCCTCCCAAGAAAAATGTTCTTTATCACATGGGAACCTGCCACCTGAAAGATCAACGTGAAGCAGAGAGGGCAAACCACCTGAAACAAAAAAAAAAAGCTACAAGAAGTCTTTGCAAAGGAGGGAAGATCTTCAAGGCAAACATCGGTAGGGCTGTCTGCAAAAAGAACAGACCTTCTCCTGGCAGGCGTGCACATGACAGTGTCTGAAACAAAAATATTAAATCAAATTTTTAAAAAAGAGCCGAGTGAACTGCACTCCTCTACCATCACTGCCTGAAGGAAGTTCCCATGCAGGAAACACTAGATGAGAATTAAGTATCCGATCATGACCTAATTATGTTCCCCTGTCTATGAGCTGGGCAACCGTGTTCTGACTTCTCCAGAGCTGGTGCCAAACCTCCGCTCTCTCAAGAAGGAGACTTGAAAGCTTCTTGTTCACATCTCTTTCTCATGCTGCTTTGCTATCCTCTTCTCTACTCGACTTCTTAAATGAGCAAGAACTCCAAAAAGTGACCAAGTGATACTCCTTACTGCTGGAAGAACCAGGATATTCAAAGGAACACTAAATCACCTCTTAAGGAGAGGACACCTAACAGCAACAAGCTGAGCAATAGCATACTGACGTTTTCCATGGCATTCGAAGAGCCCAGAATTACCACCTGTTTCTTGAAAGCCTGAGGCAAGTAGGAGTCCTAGCATTAACCCACTGAATTGGAAAACTAGCTCCTGATCACCTGCAAAGGGCTGTAAGAGGAAAGGGTTTAGCACTCACACTGTTACCACCTATCCCTTATCTCTTAGTTAGGAGGGAAAGCAGAGTTTGTACAGAAAAAGCATTCTCTGTCAAGAGGTTTTCTGAGAAAAACCTTCTGATCTTTTTGGAGATGCAAAGTAAACCACAACTTACTCCACTTTTCTGCCTGTCTCTCTTTCTTCTGATGGAGATGCTGACTGCAGGTCTCCCCATGATGTTCAACATCATACTGGGAATTAAGAGACCATGTGGGGGACAGGTTTCCTAAATCAAGCAAGGACTTCTGAAATCCACCTGTCAACCACTAAAGGCCAGACACCTTGGAGCACCTCAAGCTCCTTTATGCCGATGTGTGGTTGGGAATACAGTGACTCTGCCAGATCTCAGACTTCAATGGGATCTTACCAATAACTACAATGACACAGCTCCTCGGACTCAAGAGCAGTACACGGAGCCTGGAAGTTCCCGAGTCTCTTAAGGACACTAGGGTAGCAAAAAAGGGGCAAAAATCCCAAAGAAGGCACAGGACTCCTGTAAGATATTGGCACTGATGGTTTCTCCTGCGTTCTCAGTCATAACAAACTTCAAAAGGGAGGTCTGCAAACCGTGTGGAGATGTCCTATCGTGCTAACACCATGCTGCCCTTGCAAAGCACTCTGCATCGACAGACGATGGCAAACCAATGCCGTACACAGTACATGGAGGTTGCATAGAAGTGACAGCTGTGGTGCGGTTCTGTTTCTGAACATCTTAAAAGTGTCGGTGACATGTCAGGAAAAAAATCTGTATCTGGGGAGGATAAAGAGCAGAGAGTCTATCCTGGGGACTCCAAGGCAGACATGTTCCTCAGACTCACACCGCAGCTGTAACAACTGAGTGTTTCCTATTTTGAAATGGTAAGTCATCTTCTCAGTGCTTGCTGGGACGCTTGAGACAGACGTTAACCTGAAAGAATTACTGATTTCGGGGGGGTGGTGTGGTGGGGTGGGGTGGTGTGGGAAACAACAAAAAAAAAAGAAAAGGCAAATGAAAGGACAAGTCAAAAAGGAAACACAGGGGAAGAAACACAAAGGCTGCTGTCTGAAAACAAAGCACTTCTTGAGCAAGCTTCCAGGGGACTTTTTTTAAGGCCCTCAAATTGCTCTGCCACGCAGGAGTTCCCGGTATGAGAAATGCTAGAACAATGGGAAAAAAAAGGAAGATGAAAAGATGGCTCTGTGAGAAAGGAGGTGGAGAAGACATCCCTGCTGTTCTCCCCTACACAGGGCTCAGACTACAGGGG